GAAAAAAAAAGATGACACTCCATCCCTGAAGACCCCCAATACCGACCGAACAGTTAGATCGGAGAATGTAAATTTAATCACAAGTTGACAAATAGAGAGTGGGTCTTTGGCCCTGGTACTTGCAGAGATCCTATGCATTTTTAGCATATATAGTAACCTCTCATCGCAGTTGTCGGGATTCGAACCCGAGACTAATCCTTGTGGCACCCTCTATCTACCAGTTGAGTTACGCCCACCGGTAGCTCAACTTCTTGAGAAAGAACTTTTTTATGAAGTTGAATGATAATCAAATCCAATGATCACGAGGAGTCAGTAAAAGTCACCCCGGGATGACGAAGACTACTACTAACTCTACCCACTAGAGTCAAACTTCAAATTTCTTCACCAAATTCTCCATCAAAATAGGGGAATTGTCATTTTTTTGTTCCAAAAGTTACACCAAATACTACACGGCTACATCATTTTACTAAAATGGTGGAGGTGTTGAGTTTTAAAGCCATATTTGGCGCAGAGATGGGATGCGCCATCTTCCCTTTTTATTATTTTTTTCTTTTTGCAAAAGTGATCCAAACTTTTGGTTATTATAGTTTTGAGTTTTGGCCCATTTTTAGAATAACAAATTTAAATTGTAACTTTGATATACCCGAGCAAAAAAAATTAAATAACAAAACATTATAAATAAAGTTTCAAATCGAAGAAACATAATAACAGAATACAAATAATACTTAAGAAAATAACAATTGATAAAACCATTAAAATTAAAAATCACATTATTAAATCGAGATATTACCCAAAATGGGACTAAAAAAGTTTGGAAATTCCAAAGTAGGACTTCCATGTTTTAATTCCCAAAATAGGACTAATTACTGTCATGTTTTGACAGTACCAGACTTCAAACATGGCAGTATTTTCCAAATTTGGCAGTAATTAGTCCTATTTTAGGAATAAAAACATGACAGCCCTATTTTGGAATTTTCAAACTTTTTTAGTCCCATTTCGGGAACTTTCCCTATTAAATCGTACATAATACATACTTATTTTGATACTAATTTACTAAAAACAATATTTGTGAAATAGAGACAATTATCCTAGGCATGACTAAAATTGATTATAGTCTAAAATTAGTGTTTCATTTTAGAATTGGAATCTGCAAGCATATGATGATGGCATTGTTAGGTGTGTATTTCAGCTCAGGTCTCCAACCAGAACAATCACACACACCACCCCAGGATGTTTAGCCACTCCACCACTCAACAAGTTTAGTCCACTCTTTTCTCACTTCTCTATCTCACACAAAGGATGACAGGGGAGGAATAAGGACTATACTCTCAGCTCTCTCAACTCTCACAAAGGAGGAGGAAACTCTATGGAGACACCTCTCGCTCACTCACACTCTTACTACCACACACCTCATTGTATACACCGCACTCTTTTTAGTCTCACACAAGGCCACAAATATAAGGAACTAGAAAGATGCCTTCTCAATCAAAACAACTCATTGGTAGCTTAAGACAAAAACAAGGACAGAGAGTACCAAGGGGCCAAGCTGACACAATTGCAAAGGAACGGATAGAAAGGTAGCTAAGGAGTAGAGATAAAAGATAATGGGAGTAGGGCTAAACTCAGGGTTCAGGCCTTAACATAATAAGTGGAAGGAAGGCCTTAGTAGGACCAATACCTCCAACACGCATAAATTATTTGTTGCTCTTTTTGTTCAACAGTGGTGATTTGCTGCATGAGAGCAAATACAAATGGAAATAACTTGTCGGTCATCTACTACATAATGAGTCTGATTTCAAAGTTAAATACGGAGTAATCGTTTGCCTACTCTACCACTCATAAGGCAACATATTCTGTATAGTGCGGAAAAGGAAAGAGGTGGGGTCATGCTGCACATTCACCTCCTTCTACTACAACTCTTTCCGATTATGGCCCCACAACATTTGATCCAAAGGAGGGTCCATAGCAGTAGCTAAGGAAAAAAAGAAGCCTGAAAAGACAATATTTGAGTTGAAGCCAGAGTCTTAGGATCAGGGCCGGCCCAGAGTCTCTCGATCAGGGCCTCCTTTTTGCGACCGCACAAGGCCCAAAAAAATCGAGGCTCAAAATAAAATTTTTAGTAGTAGTACTACTACTCTACTAATGTAATAATGTATGATGTTAAATGTCCCACACCGGAAAATTGAGAAGCACTAGGGTGCTATATTATGCTTCGGGCTACTCCTCCTAACAGGTTGACCTTTTAGGATGGAACCCCGTGTCTTAACATGGTATCAGAGCCAAATCGATTCATGGTGTGGGGCCCCTTATGAAAAATGATGACACGATAAAAAAAATTGACGAACCGATGAAAAATGAATGACGACACGATCCAGACGAAGTGTCTGGTCGTGAGGAGGGGTGTTAAATGTCCCACACCGGAAAATTGAGAAGCACTATAGTGCTATATTAAGCTTCGGGCTACTCCTCCTAACAGGTTGACCTTTAAAGATGGAACCCCGTGTCTTAACATATGATGAATTGATGAAATAATGAAATTTAAAAATTTGGTTGTTATTTAGAATTAAATATTTAAATGTAATTAGTTGATGAGTTAATTAGGCTATTTATATTTAATAAATTTATAATTGCTGCAGCTATATTTAATATTTATGTCAGAAAGGAAGGCCCAAATTTTGTTATTGCACAGGGCCTCAATTTTCCGGTGTTAAATGTCCCACACCGGAAAATTGAGAAGCACTATAGTGCTATATTAAGCTTTGGGCTACTCCTCCTAACAGGTTGACCTTTAAAGATGGAACCCCGTGTCTTAACATATGATGAATTGATGAAATAATGAAATTTAAAAATTTGGTTGTTATTTAGAATTAAATATTTAAATGTAATTAGTTGATGAGTTAATTAGGCTATTTATATTTAATAAATTTATAATTGCTGCAGCTATATTTAATATTTATGTCAGAAAGGAAGGCCCAAATTTTGTTATTGCACAGGGCCTCCATTTTCTCAGATCAAGCTAATTAGGGTTGGTTTGCAACTGCTTTTAAAAAAGCACTTCTCAGATTTTGACTTTAAAAAAATACTTATTTTCCCAAACACTACAACTTTTATTTTTCTCGGCTTCCGCGTCAAAAGTGATTTTACTTTTTCTATTACACAAAAATCACTTATTTTACCAAACACTACCCACTTTTACTTTTTAAAATCATTTTTTTCTCAAACACTATCAACTTTTATTTAATCACTTCTCCCCATTTCATTAAAAAAAGCACTTTTTTAAAAGTAGAAGCTGTTGCAAACAGACCCTTAAAGAGGTCCGAGGCATCAGTGATTTAGGCCTCAAGGAAGCAATGGATTTGGTGGAAAAGTCACCTGCAGTTTTTAAAAAGGAGTGTCAAAGGAAGAAGCAGAACAAGTCATTAAAAAGGAGTTGTCATGGAATAATGGAAAGTAGGGGAAAGTATTTTTCATATGGCGTAATTGGTAGTTTAAAAATAAGCTTAAGGCTGTTTAGTTAGTCCTCGTTCAAATTTTTCTGCAGATTTTTGGAAAATAAGCATGTAGTTCTGAAAAGAAAAATGAGAGAGAGTTGTTTGGAGTAAAAAGTTAAAAACACATTATAGCACTTGTCAATTATAGATAATATCAGTCCAATTTCACTGGTTAGAAGTTTGGCTACGGCATTTTTTATAGAAAAGAGATACTTGTTTTTAGATATAACGTTATTTTCAAATCTCTATAATCAAATCAGCCCGTTGTTTATGCTATATGCATCACTTTTGGGAGCTTTCTAAAAGGAGGATAAAAGCTACTGTGCAATAAATACAGAAACACTTGTTTATCAGGGTAATTGGCTCGCAATAAAGCTAGGTCCTGATCGAGCAACTAGTAGTCCTGTTTTTCCACCTCTCCAAACACAATATCTCACTCTTTAAAGTATAAGTTTAGGGCTCATAATACTACGTATATGATATCACATATCATGGTTGAAAATGCATGATTGTGGTTGAGTAAGAAAAATGTAAGTTAATATTAATTACATAAAACTTTTCAAAAAATAAAATGAGATGATTTTTTTAGACATCTCAAAATAGTGAGTGAGAAGAATTTTATGGAATAGAAGGAATATATGTGATTTAATAAATGTTGATGATTACAATATGGATTTCACTTAAACCTTAATAGGTGGGGTAAATTGACAGTCAAAGAGTTAGAGCACCTGAGCATATCGAACCCAACTCATTACGGTGAGGCACAAAATGTCAAATATGATTAAACTTATTGAAATTAATGGCATGATTGAAGTAACATTGTAACTTTTGATTATATTACAATAACTTCTTATTTTTTCACTTTTTTCATAAAAATGAAAAAACTTAGCTAGTCTAAAATGAAACGTAGGCATTTTATGAAAAAAGTTATTTTAAACTCTCCAGGACTACAAGTATACAAGTATCAAAAAGAGAAGGGAGGTGGAGCGTTATTTTATAGAAGAGAAAGAAAGATGGATAGATTGGGAATATTATAAAAGAAACAGAAAGGCCAAATCTAAAAGCTAGGTTTCTTGGCTTTTCCTATTTTAAATGTTTGTGATCAAAAGCCAAGTGAAAGGCCATTTTACTAAACACACCTATTAGGCTTATTAGCTGATGGATCCAAGAAAAAGCCAAATCAATGTCAAAATATCAAAAATTGATTGATCAGCTACCAACGAAACACCCCCATAAAAAAGCACTAATATTTTGTTCATTAAAAAGGAGTGTTCATTCCATTTATACGGTCCAACTATACTGTAAAGATATTCCACCTTCTTTCTTGGAAGTTGCCAAGAGGCATCTCACACCTCCTAGGAAGGAGCCATCCAACATTGAGGTACTTCAACATCCCTTCATGGAAGTTGCTTGGAGATAGCTAGGAACCTCCCTAGAAATGGGAATGGAAGCTTGGATGCAACTTCCTCATGTCTCCCATATACACCTATAAATAGGGAGTGTATTGTTGTTCATTTGTATCAGTTTAGAAAGTGAGAAAAGTGTGTGAAGAGTGAAAATACACTTAGAGTAGAAGTGTATTGGTGAGGATTGGTTTTTTGTAATAGTTGAGTGTGAGAGTTTGCTCCTCCTATTGTAATTCTGTTCTTGATATTGAATAGAAGAATTTTCCAATCCCAACAAGTGGTATCAGAGCGAGGTTGAGTTTCCATACACTGTTTTCTCATTTTCAGATAAATTTCTACGGGTTATAAAATCGTGATTTTTCAAGTTGCTCGCAATCACGATCTGATCATACCGTTAGATTCGTCTCGTCGAGACGAGAAATCTGGTATTTTTGGGGAATTCTTTGGCCGCCAGAAGAGGCCGTACGCGCCGCCCAAACGCGCCGGAAAACTGCCTGCGTCATCATTGCGTCAGCACGCAGTCCAGAGGAAGAAGACGAGCCACGTCAGCCGCCACATCAGCCGCCACGTCAGTGCCACGTCAGCGCTACGTCAGTCCACGCAAGCGCCACGTCAGCCGCCACGTCATCCGTGCAAGCCATCCTCTAGGGTGCCACGTCATCGCCACGTGGCGCCACGTCAGCGCCAGCGCAGTCCAGCTATTGCCACGTCATCCGCCTGCTGGTCTGCCCACTGGTTTGCTGCTTGAACCGGACCGAACCGGTTCGAAGTTGTGGAGGCCGGTTCACCCATTTCCAGACCGGTTTTGGACGAGGTCAGACCGGTTCCTACCATTTTCGGCCATTCCGGATCCAACGGTGAGCTCCGTTTGTCCAAATTCGGCTCCGAAAATAAGGTACGAGATATTTTGAGCGTTTTATTATGGATAAATCATCATCAGACACCATGATTGCGCTCACTTCCACAAATTACAATATGTGGAAGCCTCGGATGGAGGATTTGCTAAATTTGAGGGATTTAGCCGATCCTCTTGATAATAATGGCGTGAAACCGGATAAAAAGACGGATGAAGAATGGACAAAAATGAATAGAAAAACTGTCGCACAAATTCGACAGTGGATAGATCATAGTGTGTTCCACCATGTTGCGCAAGAACAAAGTGCTTACACACTATGGGAGAAGCTTGGTAGCATGTATCAAGCAAAACCGCCTGAAATAAGACGTTACTAATGAGGAGATTAGTAAACCACAAGTTACGAGGAGGTATTTCGGTGTCAGAACACACCAGTCAATTCCAGGATCTTGTGAATCAGTTGAGCACCACAGGATGGGTTCTCAAAGATGAAGAGCAGGCGATACTACTCTTGAGCTCTCTACCTGACAGCTGGGAGACTCTTGTTGTCACTCTCAGCAATTCTGCTCCCAATGGCAAAGTGACTATGCAGATGGTCACAGATGCCCTTATGAACGAAGAAGCCCGAAGAAAAGAAGCCGGGACTGAACAATCATATGCCTTCGTGTCAGAAACCAGCAGACGAGGGGGAGGCAGAAATGGAGGAAGAAGTAGAGGTCGAGGCAGAGGCCAAGGTCAAAACAGAGGAAATTCTCAAGTTCGCGGCCGATCACAAGAACGAGGTATGTCCTGTGAAAACAATACTTGGTTTGAAGGATATTGCAACTATTGTGGTAACTATGGGCATAGAAAAAGAGATTGTAGAAAGTTTCTACGAGAGCAGCCACAGACGAGTCAAAATACTAGCCAAGAAGACGGTGAGACCATGGTTAGTTTGTCATCAGACGTGTGTCTTGTTACACATGGTGAACAAGAATGTTTACACGTAGGTACTCATGATGTTGAGTGGGTGATTGATACAGCCGCATCATTTCACGCCACTCCACACCAGAATTTATTCACATCTTATAAGTCCGGGGACTTTGGAGCTGTGAAGATGGGAAACACCAGTTTCTCGAAGATTGTTGGCATTGGTGATGTGCACATAACAACCAATGTCGGATGTGCACTTGTTTTAAAAGATGTTCGACACGTTCCGGATCTTAGATTGAATCTTATCTCCGGTACAGCTCTGGATCAACAAGGATATCTTAACAGATTCAAAGAAGGTACGTGGAAGTTATCTAAAGGTTCCTTGGTTGTTGCAAGAGGCCATATTTGTGGTACTCTGTATAAAACTCATGCAAAGTTGTGTCATCCGAGTCTCAATGCTGTTGAAGAAGAGATATCACCAAACTTGTGGCACCGGAGGTTAGGCCACTTAAGCGTGAAGGGATTGACAACTCTTGCTAGGAAGGAAAGGATTTCCATGGGCAAAGGTGTTGCCTTAGATCCATGCGAGCACTGTCTATTCGGGAAACAACACAGGGTTTCCTTCAGTTCTACCAGGAAGAACCATTCAGAGTTACTCAGTCTTGTACACTCTGATGTATGCGGACCCATTGAAGAGGAGTCACTTGGAGGAAGCAGATATTTCGTGACATCCATTGATGATGCATCACGAAAGGTATGGGCTTATTGTTTGAAGAGTAAGGATCAAGTGTTTGATCGCTTCAGATTATTTCATGCCATGGTAGAAACAGAAACAGGGAAGAAGCTGAAGTGTCTACGTTCAGACAATGGAGGAGAGTACACTTCCCGAGAGTTCTCAGCATATTGCGCTGCATACGGAATCAGACATGAGAAGACGTGTTGATATTAATTAGTTTTGTTGATGACTAACCTATTTGTGATTTATATCTATGTGCATGCGTGACACTATTGGCTTGCATAAATTGACAAAGAAAAAGTACTCCACCTTTAAGGTAAGAAATTATCTTTAACCAAATAATAAACGTGGCATAATTTGAGGAAAGTATTATCAAAGGAAAGTCACTTTTGAAATGTCACATGACTTGAATAAATTGATATTTGAATTTGATATATGCTTTTATATGCTTACCATTGAAAAGCCATCATTGCTTGCCTTTTATAAAAGGAAGATCGTTGCATGCTTTTGAGCAATATGCTATCAAAAGAAAAAGCCTCTAAGTAAAGTCACAAATCGAATAAATCCATATATGCCAAGTATTGTATTATGCGAAGATTTATTACTGCCTTGCCAATTATTCATTGTCTTGTAAAGAGCTTGGTTGACCGGAGTATCAAGATGGAAGGCGTTTTAAATTATTTCAAGGCAAGTATCAAGATTGATTTCGAGAGATAAAGGCTCCAACGGATTAATTCTGAGGTCTCCTATATAATCGAAGTAGCTGAAGAGAAAATGTGAGCTTGACTAAGAAAACTACAAAGGAAAAATCACTCAGAAAAGGATCAAGTCCATAGCGCCTGAAACTGCCTACACGGAGTTCTAGATAGAGTTTCTTTACCATTATCATATTGTATTTGGGATATTGAGGTGTAGCTAAGTGTAGCTGCCTCGGGTTGGGTTCTGTGTGTGTAAGAGCTTTGTGATAAAGCTGAGAGGCTCTCTACCCGCAAGGTAGAGATGCATAACTCTTCCTAGAGAGGATAGAGTTGGGGAGGCTCAAGGGTAGATTAGGAGAATCACTCTTGTAACTCTTTCAAAGGCTTGTTTAGTGAAGTTGTTTAAAATTCCTCCGAGGGAGGTCGAGGTTTTTTAATCCCTTTGAGCCAAGGGATTTTTCCTCGTTAAATTCTTGTGCACTTTACTATTTTGCAATTCCCTTTATCCCACACTAGAACTCGGCGAAAAACTGCCACGGTTCCACAGAAACACAATTCACCCCCCCTCTTGTGTTGCTAACCGTTTTCATCAATTGGTATCAGAGCCGGTCTTCACCACATAGAGGCTAATACCTTGGGAAGAGATCCGGCAGAATGAATACGGTTGACCGACTAGAAGAAGGGTACTCAACTCAAAGACCACCATTGTTCAATGGCAAGTACTATCAATTCTGGAAGAGTCGGATGGAAAACTTTATCAAAGCCGATAACTATCAGGTTTGGAATGTTATAGAGAGTGGTGATAATGCCATCACAAAGAGAAATGCCGAAGGTAATGTTGTTCCTAAACCTAAAGCTGAATATACTTCTGAAGATTATGAGAAACTCGAGCATAATGCCCAAGCTCTTAAATATTTAATTTGTGCTCTTGGTCCTGCCGAACACAATCGAGTTCTAGGATGCAAGACCGCTAAACAAATGTGGGACTTGCTCGAGGTTACTCATGAGGGAACCTCACGTGTGAAAAAATCTAAGATTGACATATTCATGCGTAATTACGAATTATTCGTAATGAAGCCAAAAGAGTCAATTAAGGATATGATCACACGTTTTACTAACATTATCAATGAGCTTTCAGCCCTTGGAAGAGATATTACAGTGGAGGATCAAGTTAGAAAAATCCTGAGAAGCTTACCCCCAGCATGGAAGCCTAAAACCACGGCCATTGAAGAAGCAAAAGATCTATCCACCATGACTCTTGAAGATCTGACCGGATCACTCTTGACATATGAACTGGGTCTTCAAGAGGAACAAGATGCTGAGAGTGCTAGGCGAGAAAGAGGAATAGCTCTTAAGGCTCGAGAAGAAGAAGAAGAATCCGAAAGTGAGTCGGATGATGAGATGAGCATGTTTGCGAAGCAATTCGGAAGGATGTACCGAAAGTTCAAGAACAATCGCGCCAAACAAGGTAAAAGGAATACTCAATCCTTTAATAACCAAGGTTGTTTTGTTTGTGGTTCCTTTGAACACAGGGCTAAGGACTGCCCACAAAAGAAAAATGAGAAAACCTACGACAAGAACAAGTCCAGTTCCAACCGAAGGTTCAGTGAAGATAAAAGCTTCAATAGAGATCTCAAGAAGGCAATGATGGCCGCATGGGGAGACTCATCCGATGATGAAGAAGAAGAAAATGATAAGAACTCCAATCATGCGGGTCTATGTCTTATGGCACTCTCCGACGAGGAATCCGACCAAGAAAGCTTTGAGGTAAACTTTGAAAATTTTCTATCCAAGTTTGACTCTCTATCCAAAACCAAAACTCGGAAAATTTTCAAAAGGTTAACTATTGAGCTTAATGAAAGTCTTTCCGAAAATGATCATCTTAAATCACGTATCACTGAGCTTGAGTCTAAACTCGAGGAAGCCACAAGAGCCAAAGTAAGGCTTGAAACAAAAGTGGGAGAGTTAGTGGATGAAAGGCTTAAGTACAGTGAAGTGGTTCTAGAACAAGATCAAATTATTTGTTCTCTTAAGCTCGATAGTATGAACAAACAAGTTGATCATGATGAAAAGCTTCTCTCAAAAATACCGAGTGTTGGTTGTTTAATTGATCATCTTCATCGTCTTGTTGCCGAGTGCACTGATTTTAAAAATAGACCGGAATATCAATCCTATAGTGCAACGAACAAAACCAGGTCTAGACATCATTCTGGAACTGGTCCTTCTCAGCACAACAAGAAAGTAAACGAGACTGCAGGTCTCGGATATGTTCCAAAGGATGTCCGATCTAATCAAAAAACAAACTTTCAGAACCAACCCTTTAAGGATAAAAGAACCCAAGGACAATCCAGTTCTAGACCATATCAACAGCCACCTAGAACTGGACCAAACTGGTTCGATAGACTGGTTCAGAGGCACAAAAACGGTTATGGACAAACGCCTAACCGGACCTTTTACAAAAGAACTAGAGGCTTTCACGGTAAATGGAAACCCAAATACGTTGATACTTATGATAACCGAGTTTGCATGCATTGTGGCAAAATCGGTCATCTTCGGTATCAATGTTACTCTCGGCAAGAGACCCTAGATAGATGCTATGATTATGTTAGATCTTCCTCAAATAAAAACAAAATGGAACCCAAGCAGGTCTGGGTTCCACGCACTAAACCTTAAACCTGGAACAGCGCCGAGTGAGGGGGAACAATCACTGGTTCCTTGACAGTGGTTGTTCTAAGCACATGACGGGAGACAAATCTTTATTCCTCTCACTTCGGCCATTTAACGGTGGAAAGGTGACATTCGGAGACAACGGCAAAGGAGAGATCATAGCCGTGGGAAAAGTTGGAAAGTCACCTAGCCATGCTATTGATAATGTATTTTTAGTCAAGGGCTTGAAATTTAATTTACTAAGTATTTCTCAATTTTGCGATCGAGGTAATAGTGTTGTTTTTGATCATAACGTTTGTCGCATTGTTAGTAACAAGTCACAACAAGTTATACTTGAAGGCAAGAGGCTCGAAAATACATATAAAGTAGATCTTGATTCATTGCCTAATATTAGTATGACTTGTTTGAGTGTTATTGATAATGATCCTTTGCTATGGCATAAAAGGCTTGGACACGCTAGTTTTTCACTAATAAATAAACTTAAAAATAATGATTTAGTCATTGGACTGCCCAATATGAAATTTTCACTTGACCATGTTTGCTCGGCTTGTGCCACTGGAAAACAATCTCGATCATCCTTTAAAACAAAGAATTTGGTGAGCACAAGCAAGCCCATAGAACTGATTCACATGGATTTGTGTGGTCCAATGTCTGTCCGTAGCCGAGGAAATAAAGAATATGTTCTAGTTATTGTTGATGACTTTTCAAGATTTACATGGACTATCTTTCTTCCTAGCAAGAAAGATACCTTTAATGAGTTTGCTATTTTTGTAAGGAAAATTGAGCATCAAACAGGTCTACAACTAATCAAGATCCGATCGGATCATGGAACTGAGTTTGACAATTCTCTCTTCGATGCCTTCTGCAAAGAACGAGGGATAGACCACAACTTTTCCGCACCTAGAACTTCACAACAGAACGGAGTGGTAGAACGGAAGAATAGAACACTGGAGGACATGACTAGAACTATGCTTATTTCCAGCGGTCTAGCTAGGAGCTTCTGGGCCGAGGCTCTAAACACAGCATGTTACATCATTAATCGAGCCATGATCCGCCCACTCCTAGGGAAAACACCCTACGAACTACTCAAAGGAAGGAAGCCCAACATTAGTCATCTAAGAACCTTTGGATGCAAATGTTTCGTCCACAACAATGGGAAAGATAACATCGGCAAATTTGATGCTAGAAGTGACGAGGCAGTCTTCCTCGGATATTCTCCTCATAGCAAGGCTTACAAAGTTCTAAACAAACGCACACAATGTGTGGAAGAAAGCATTCATGTAATCTTTGATGAAGCACTTGTCTCAAAGACAATCCAAGTCGATGATGGTGAGCTAGGGATTACTCGCAAGAAGTCACAATCTCAAGGAGATGAAGGAACCACCTATCAAACTGATGAAGTACCTCCAACAAATGAAAATGAACAATCTGGAACTGAAGAAGAACCTGGACAGAACACTGACACTGGACCTATAGAACAAATAGAACCAGTTTCAGATACTCTCTACAACTTGGTGGACCAACCCAACGCTCCTAGGGGTTGGAAGCTTCATAGATCACATCCGCTGGATAACCTCCTCACCGATCTAAATCAGGGAGTAACAACTAGATCTAAACTTAAGAACTTTTGTGCTTTCTCTGCTTATTTATCACTTATAGAACCGGAGAACCATGAAGTGGCTCTCTCCGACACTGACTGGGTTCTAGCTATGCAGGAGGAACTAAATCAGTTTGAAAGAAACCAGGTGTGGCATCTAGAACCGAGGCCCAAGAACAAAACCGTCATAGGTCTCAAATGGGTATTTAAGAACAAACTTGACGAACATGGTCAAATCACAAGGAACAAGGCAAGACTTGTTGTCAAGGGCTATAACCAACAAGAAGGAATAGATTACAACGAAACATTTGCACCGGTGGCAAGACTAGAAGCAATCCGAATGCTCATAGCATTTGCGGCTCATATGGGTTTCACCCTCCACCAAATGGATGTCAAGACGGCCTTCTTGAATGGATATCTAAAGGAAGAGG